TTATCGCTTTACAATTTAATAACGTAGTATAAAGGTGGAAATATGCTTTTAAAAGACGTATGAACGTCAACAAACAACATAATTTGTTCAAACTACATTTACGTGTTTGACTTTACAATGTACTGTGTGTTTTACTTCGTATAATTTAATGTATTTGAACTCAAATCTATAATATCACACCGGCACAATTAGCGGAACACAAAAAAAGCAGGATTTTAAAATCTTTTAGTTGAGGAACTGGCCAGTTATGATATTTTTTTTAATTTATTGTCAAATTTGAAAATAGAAAATTAGATGACGTACACTTTGTTCATTCATTTGTTTTATTTTCCCGAACAATACGTTTTGTCAACTTGTTCGAGTAATAACTACGTAATTGTAATTTTTTTTGAAAAATTGCACTTAATGGTTTTTTATAAATTTGTTATTCTATAGGCAATTTTGTTTATTAAAAGCTCTTTATTATGCCTGACTTAACATCACTGGAAATCATTAGGGCTGATGAAATGAGAAGAAATGGCCATACCTACAGATCGATTGCCTCAAGGCTTCGTCGACCAGTATCAACGATTCATCGCAGCATCCAGCGGTACAGATCGTCTAATTCTCTTGTGAGGAGGAGGGGTCAAGGTAGAAAAAGATGTACATCGAGGCGAGATGACAGTTTTTTACAACTTGGAGTTCGTAGGAATACGCGATTAACGGCTGTACAAGCTCGAAATGAACTGGAAGACGTTCGAGGAGTACGAGTAAGTGAGCGTACAGTTCGCAGGAGATTTGAAGAAGTTGGTTTAGGGTCGTTTATACCTGCCAAAGGCCCAAAACTTGAGAGACGTCACCGCGTAAACCGATTAAGCTATGCGCGAGAACATCGTCATTGGGATTTGAACGAATGGCAGCAGGTTCTCTTTACTTATGAGTGCAGAGTTCTTTTAAAACAGATCGATGGGAGACAGCGAATATGGAGACGCAAAGGAGAACGCCACATACAGTCTAATTTTGAACACACAGTGGCTTATGGTGGCGGCTCGATTATGGTTTGGGGAGGGATATGTTTGGGAGCTCGCACGGAGTTAGCGATAGTCACAGGAGGGACCATGACAGCAGATCAATACATCAGAGACATTTTAGAAGAACATGTTGTACCATTTGCCCCATTTATTGGTGACGACTTTATTCTAATGCAAGATAATGCTCGTGCTCATAGTGCACAATCGGTACAGGCATATCTGAGCCACGTAGGTATACCGGTGATGCAGTGGCCAGCAAACTCCCCCCGATATGAATCCGATAGAGCATGTCTGGGACTTGCTAAAAAGAAGGGTTAAATCCAGAATGCCACCCCCCAACAATTGAATGAACTGGAAAGATGGGAGTGGGAGCGGTTTCCTCAAGAAATCATCGATAACATAATCTGTAGCATGCCCAGACGAATGGAAACCGTAATCAGAGCAAGAGGGGGAAACACTCGTTATTAATTTTGCTTTAATTTTATTGTTAAATCATTTAATGCTTACTTTTTTTTTATTTTTTGTGATGGTTCATAATCATCTAAAATTTTCACTTATTTCAAATTTCTTTATTTTTCAATAAAAAATAACGAAGACTTTTCAAAGTCGTTGTTAAGAAGTTAATCAATTTGTTATTTTGTGTATAATTACATTTTCGTCAATATATGCGTTATTATCTCATAGTCTCACTTTTTTTTCTGTTCCGCTAATTGTGCCGGTGTGTATAAATACCAGCTTTCTGCACTCCTTCTTTATATAAACTTTAACTATGCCAAATTTCAAGCTACTCACTCAGTGCGTTCAATATGCTTAAAAAGGGTACTAAGTTTACTCTTTACATATTATTATATATGTAAGCATTTTGTAACACACTTTCTTCATTTTGGAATAATAGTAACTTTAAATAAATAATGTTGGACTAAAAATAATTTCATTATAAAATACAATTTAATAAACTGTTTATTTCTTTAAAATTTAGTATTCCACTATATGTTGTTTATCAAAACATATTTTAAATAAACGATGTCCTCAAGTAAGAAAAATGATTTTTCTCTTTTGGTGTGTCAAATATCTTGTTATTTCCTAGTTATAAAAATATTATCATTTCGATCTTTTTATCTGCATCATAGACTTGACATATTTAGCAATGATTATGACGCACCGCAATAAAATCATCTTATTTTTAATTAACAACGTTTCGGGGGCTTCAACAATTCACTGATTATGGATTTGTTTGAGTTCTGTTGTTACGTCTGTACGTGTCTTTTATAGAATAAGGATGGTTTTTTATAGAATAAGGGTGTCAAACGGCATAAAGCTATTATATTAGCTGCAGCGTTGTTCTTCCATGTATGCAGCATACGTTTGTTGACCCTTTTAAATGTCTGACATCCTGGTGTCTTCTGGCTGTGTGGTACCTACAATCTGCTAGGGATTCTAAAATTTAAAAATAAACTAAATCCAAATCAAAGCATACCACTTCAAGACTTTATAATAATATAATTTTGTTTTGCGTAGGTCAGACCAATAATTTATATTTAAAAGCTGAATGTAGCCCAAAATAAATATGACATCAAAAGCTCAAACACCTTAGATCATCAACTGTGACCGTAGTGTAAAGCCACAAATCAATCAAAACGTAGAAAAATAAAAAAATAATATTAAACAAGTGTATCACACCACTATTTTGTGTATTACCAACGTAATAAATTAGCAGTCAGTATAACAAGCCGACCTGACCACGGGACATATGCCGTAGCGAAAATTTGCGCGGCGCGAACAGCGAGGCGTCTAGCGACTAAAACAAATGTATAGAAATGTATGGATCAAGTCACGCGTAGCGGCGAGTGGTGAAGCTACCGGCAAAATTAACCGGGCGAATGCGACTGAAACAAATGTATGAATCAGTACGGTGCAAGCCACGGAGTCGGGCGGTAGACGCGGTGAATAGTACATAGAACAAAATAGTTTAGTTGTTTTCGCCGCGAAAAGTGCCGGGCCGACAAAAACAACTTAAAATTTTATCCACAGCGACTTTTATCTCCAATTCTGGTTGAATATTAACAAGAATATAATCGCAGGTTTCGACACTCATTCTGGTATTTACTCGAAATTTTCTAGATGCATTCTGTATTTGTTGTGGAATTTATAACCCGATTCCTATTCAAATCATGTACTCCGCAATCTCTTCCAAATATTATGTCTTGAATCAAAAAACAATTACTTTGTAAGCAATATCGAGATAACTTTAATAAAGACATTTCACTCTCGGCCTATCTGGTCGCGGCAGCAGACGTGACTTCCCGTGGCCCTCAAATCGCGCCGCGCGAATTTTCACCCCGCCTGTCGCTTCGCCGTTCGCGTCGCCGTCCCCCATGGCCAGGCCGTAATGTCCATATTACGTTTACGTAATTTTCGAGAGGACTAAGCTCGAATTTTTCGATGAATACATTTGCCTGTGTTTGAATTGACCGATTAGATAAGTCCAACTTTGACTTAGAGGACAATCGATCAATCCTACTCATCTAAGTAGCGTTCGGAAATATCCGCAGAATAACGAGGGTGACCGACATACTAAAGGATAAGTAAGCTAGGCACAAAGCACTTCCGAATGCTTGTTATTCCCGGTCCCATGGCTCCTAAACATGCGTTGCGAACACGGAGGAGTCCTACGCGTAGGTAAAGTTGGAGGCCGTGGAGGAAGGCGCACCTTGTATTCTGATGTGGGTTACCTGAGGAGGAGAAGTTGTTTCTACCCCTTCCCCTTCTTAGGAGAGAAGTTCTCTAGTTCTCTTATCTTGTACTATGTTATATATGAAATTGGCGTATTGTACAGGAGGAATATAAAGTCTTTTTTTTAAATATATTTAATTAATCAAAGTATGCACCGTTGTTATCTATGCACTTTTGCCATCTCATAGGTAGTTCATTGTTCCCCTTTACTAAAAAAAACCATGGGGGCGAAAATCAACAAACTCTTTCAAGGCGGTTTTGACTGCCGCATCAGAGTTGAATTTTTTTCCCTGTCAGAAGTTGTCTAAATTCCGGAAAAATGATAATCTATTGGAGCAAGGTCCGGAGAGTACAGTGGATGTCGCAGACATTCCAATTGTAGCTCATCTAACTTAGTGGTTGTTTGTTGTGCACTGTGCGATCTTGCGTTATCGTGAAGCAGCAGTGGCCTAGAGCGATTGACCAATCTCGGTTGTTTAGCAGCAAGTTCTTCCTTCACGGTTTGTAGTTACTGATAATAGATATCTGCCGTAATCGTTTGGCCAGATTTTAGAAAACTGTAGTGAACGACGCCGGCGCTAGTCCACCAAACACTCACAAGTAACTTTTTCTGAGTCAATTTTCGTTTCGGTTTCCAGGGTTCAGCCATTGCGACAAGCGCTTCCGATTATCGTACAGTATCCACTTTTTATCACAAGTAATGATTCGATTTAAAATACCTTCATTTTCGTGTCAGTTGAGCAAAGTAACACAGCAGTCGACGCGTGTATGCAAGTTCGATTCACTCAATTGATGCGGTACCAATCGTTCAAGTTCTTTTACTTTCCCGATTTGCTTCAAGTGCATTAATACAGTTTTATCACTTACCCCGAAGCCTCCAGCTATCTCTAATGTGTTTTGTGATGGATCCGCTTCCACAATAGCCTTTAATTCTTCATTTTTCACTTGGGTCTCCGGCCGTCCACGGGGTTAGTTCTGAAGGTCGAAATTTCCGAAACGAAAACATTTGTGCTTTCTTTTGCGACACCTGCGACACATCATTAATTCTTTGAGCTGTTTCTGCAGCACTGGTGCCACGGTAGAACTCGTACTCGTAAATATAACGATATTTCATGTTTTCCATTGTGCGGTACGACGCCAAAGAAAAAAATAATGAGAAAAAAACAAATGAATAACTGTTTTCAAAATTCAAATGTACCAGCTAAATGAATTTATAAATTTTAATTTAGAATTCTTAACCAAATATTTCAGATCAGAATGGTTAGTAGGACAAAACGCTAATTTCATAAGTAAGGACCCAATATATAAACTTTGGCCCTCAGTATATTTAAGATACACAAAAACAAAAATTATTTTATAAAGGATTGTGATTGATGATGATTGAGAATGGTGTAAAAAATTCACTTTCAATAAGAAATACATGCTACATGGAATAAAAATGATTCTCATAATCACAAAATCCTGTTAAAAAGCTGGAGTGCCTTTTCAATAGCTGTATACGATTTATTTCTTACAAAATCTTACTAACCCTCTTTTCTATGCTAAGCGAATCGAGCTCTTCTTCCTATCGTAAAGATAGTTAGCTTTTTTATTTAACTTAAGCCTCATTTTACTTACATTTTTAAAATGTTAGTAAAATGAGAGAGAAGAAAATGAGATTCACATTTTATTTAAATGCAAATAACGTTAATTGAACTACTACCTAGCTGCGAAATATCCCATTAATATTAACAATTTTCGTACTCAACATTACCTTTAATAATCAAGTTGAATGAATAAAATAAGAAGATGACTATTAAGATATCAATAAAACTAGTGTCAAATATTGACCTAATAAATACAGAAAAATACAGTAGGCGATTAGAGTGATACATAGCCAGTTATCAAATTCAAGAGAGTCAAATTACATATCGATGTCAGTATGTTCGTCTAAATAGCTTAGATTCTAGTGACTACTATACTATGTCAGGAGTGAATCAGGGTAATACGTTAGGAACAACCCTTTTCTTAATATTAATCAATGACGTCTTTAGAGTGGTTTCTATCTCTGAATGTCTATTATTAACTAATGACCTGAATTTAAGCCTGGGCATTTCACTGATATTATAGAGAGATATTGATGCTGTGACCTAATGTATTGGCCGTATGAGGACGCTCAAGGTCGCTCAGCGAGCTATGGAGAGGGCTATGCTCGGAGTTTCACTGCGTGATAGACTCAGAAATGAGGATATCCGCAGTAAAACAAGTGACCGACATAGCCAAGATTAGTAAGTGAAGTGCAAGCCCCTATAGAAGAAGAGGGGAGAAGTCGAGTAATGAGAAGGTAGGCGACCCCTATTGGTTACCTGAAGAAGGAAGTAGGAAGGGCCAGGACCGTCTTTGTGGCATTACTTGGGAGAGGCCTATTTCAATTGTGAAGGGCTGTAATGATGATGATGATGATGACCTAATGTATAAAAGACAACTTTATAATAACACGAAATGCAATTTTATATTTTACGCACCTAATTTCGACCGATACTATAAATATATCTAACACTCCCATGGAAAGAGAATTATTTGAATAAATTAACATGAAAAGAAAAAAAACGGAGAGGTTTTGGCGTGAAATCGATTATTGCAATTTTTTTCTAACTGCTTACGTGCGGTGTGAATATATCCACTACTAGATAAAATCAACCTGTGTGCCGTAGAAGCGATAGAGGAAAAGGAACCAGGAGCGTCCTTCTAATAACAACTAAAGAATATAAAAGCTGCGGTTGCCAACCCGCATGCCATGCTTGACAACCATGAAAAATATCTCTATATTTAACAGTAGACTTTTTATGGCTGTAACGATAACAGTTACGATATGTACTAGATATAGTCACCCTGCGTGTCGTAGAAGCGATAGAAGAATAGGAACCAGGAGCGTCCTTCTAATAACAACTAAAGAATATGAAAGCTGCGGTTGCCAACCCGCATGCCATGCTTGACAACCATGAAAAATATCTCTATATTTAACAGTAGACTTTTTAAGGCTGCAACGATAACAGTTACGATATGTACTAGATATAGTCACCCTGCGTGTCGTAGAAGCGATAGAGGAAAAGGAACCAGAAGCGTCCTTCTAATAACAACTAAAGAATATAAAAGCTGCGGTTGCCAACCCGCATGCCATGCTTGACAACCATGAAAAATATCTCTATATTTAACAGTAGACTTTTTATGGCTGTAACGATAACAGTTACGATATGTACTAGATATAGTCACCCTGCGTGTCGTAGAAGCGATAGAAGAAAAGGAATCAGGAGCGTCCTTCTAATAACAACTAAAGAATATTAAAGCTGCGGTTGCCAACCCGCATGCCATGCTTGACAACCATGAAAAATATCTCTATATTTAACAGTAGACTTTTTAAGGCTGCAACGATAACAGTTACGATATGTACTAGATATAGTCACCCTGCGTGTCGTAGAAGCGATAGAGGAAAAGGAACCAGAAGCGTCCTTCTAATAACAACTAAAGAATATAAACGCTGCGGTTGCCAACTCACATGCCATGCTTGACAACCATGAAAAATATCTCTATATTTAACAGTAGACTTTTTAAGGCTGTAACGATAACAGTTACGATATGTTTTCATTCCTCAGGACTGATGGAAGGTGAGGATTGGCTACTTTACCCTTCAAACAGAAACACAGCAGGGGGTGCACTGTAGTTTAGCGATGCTGATGATGAAAAAAGGCTCTTCCACTTAGTATTTTACTATATATTATTATAATAATTGTATTTAAAATTAAGGAATTACTAGAAAAATATTCTACAAAAACAAAATATTACTTTGACATCATCAATGTAGAGCAATCGATCTCCTATGATCAGATTTGCCAATTATGTCTAGCGGTGTTTTTCTATCCTTATAGCTCGAGGCGTCTGCCGCGTCAAATTGCAATTAGATTCATTTCTCTGCGTAATTTTATATGGTGTTGTACATAGAATACTATAGTACCTAATAGAATGACTGTCAACCTTATTTTGTACGAGTACCGTCGTAACCGGAAGCACACGTACATGCAATTACTTAGTATTATCACTACTACAAACCCGATTCGCTGTGTTGACAGACTGAGCGAATTTACACATATTAGACTTATGATTTGTGTTCAAGATCATCATTAAAAATGAATCGTTTAAATTTTAATACATATTTATTTGTAAATAGTGTGTAAACTGTTTATAAATAATTTGCATGCAGCGATGCTAACATCGAAAATTGGAAATGATTGTAACGTCAAAATAGATGTGTTGACATTTATAGATGTGAATTGATATGTAAGTGACATGTTATAGCGGCTACACGGGCTCCGCCCACTCCTCCGTTCTATTATGAATGTATCATAGTATTCTATGGTTTTGTAGTTTACTAGCTACGCCCAACTTGTGTTGCAATGCTAGTATTCTGATATATGGTATAAGAACGCATAGAACTTACTCTAATGTTGAATACCTATATACCTAGCAGTGGTGGGAATCTATGTCTGGTGAAAACTTAGACGGAGTGATGAGTCGATATTTACTGGCGTTGCAGTATACAATGTGCACAATGAGCACTGGTGGAGTTCCAAAACCCCACAAAAACAAATAACAAGCTCATTAAGTTCGTTTCTGCTTCATTCGTTCAATATGGATTGAAGGTCGATTGACGGAAGTAACGTATCTGCAAATGAGAAGTTCCGTCATCGACACAATGTTGCAAACAGCGCGACGGATGTTCAGGTTATCACGAACGCTCTGTGCGCGTATATCTGGACAGCCAATTCGGTAATAGGTGGATAGGTTACAGGTTAACTTGTGGATTGGCTGACGAAATTACCAGACCTATCACCCTAGACTTTTATTTGTGGGTCGAACTAAACCGATAAATGTACATAAGTGTTAGTTAAAGTTTCACAAGCAATTGACAAAGACGTGCTAGTTTGTGTTTAGAAATAAACGGTACCTAAAAATTTTGAACAATTACTACGAAATCGGTAAAAAAGAAAATTTTTGTACATAACAATAATAAAGCATAATTTTGTAAATATCAATCAGTGTTGTTTGAAAATAAGTTGATTTCGATCATACTATTATTAGAAACTGTTTATGAATTCATTACAAATCAAGATAAAATTTAACATGTAATTCTACTCAACTACAGCATATCAGACGGCCCTAAGCCCGTAAAACTATAAGGGAAAGACCGAAATAACAAAAATAGTAATCTGAAATAAAAGATTTTCGGTTCCGACGGGGTTGATTCGGCTGCATTCAGTCGGCACGAATGTACTAAGATTTACGATGTAAATGCTCCTGTTCGTCCAGTTCGTATACGCCATCCTCCAGCCCCATGGTTAACCGAAGACCTTAAGAAACTTATAGCGAAAAAGAATGCTGCAAAGACCAGACACAAGTCAGATCCTACAAATGACATGATTCGGGAAAAGTACAGGATCCTACGTAATCAATGCAACAAGTTGTGTAGAGACTTACGACGACGCCACATCCATAAATCTGTTCAAAACGAAGATCCAAGCCATGTTTGGAAATTCCTAAGGTCTCTTGGAGTTGGGAAATCACATTCAAGCTCGATTCAAAATGATATAGATTTAAATTTGCTTAATCAGCACTTTTCTTCTGCTTCTTGCACCGATAATATTGCAAAGTCAACTACAACTCAACTTTCAACGTTACCCACTCCTGACTATCCTCCATTTGTGTTTAGGCAATTTGCAGATTGTGATGTTAGGAAAAACATACTCTCTATCCATTCTGACGCTGTCGGGAGTGATGATATCAGTCGTAAAATGATTATTCCCTTACTTGATATATTAACACCTATTATTACCCTTATCCTAAATTTTTTATATCCACATCCTCCTTCCCTTCCCAATGGAAATATACCCAATTCATACCTTTGCCCAAAAAAGCTAATCCTTCGAGTTATTCCGAGTATCGTCCCATACTTCGATTCTTCGTTTTCTGTCCAAAGTCCTAGAACGTCTTGTCCAACAACAATTAAATTCATTTTGCACAAGAAATGATATCCTCAATTCATATCAATTCGGATTTAGGCCGGGACACAGTACGACCACAGCATTATTAAAAATCACTGACGACATACGTTTCGGAATGGATAACCACCAAGTCACAGTAACGGTGTTGCTGGATTTCAGCAATGCCTTCAATGATGTAAATCACGATATACTAATTGGTGTACTGCATTCTCTTAACATATTTCCAACTGCAATTGCCTGGTTTCGTAGTTACTTATGTGGACGTCGCTAACGTGTTCGGGTACAAGACAGAATGTCTTCGTGGCTTGATACCGTTGCTAGCGTTCCACAAGGTGGCGTGTTATCTCCTCTCTTATTTGCACTCTTCATAAATTCTATTACCTCCAGAATATCTTCTCTCTACCACTTGTATGCTGATAATCTCCAGATATATCTACAAACAACCGTAGAGGATCTGCCAAAAGCAATTTGTGATATAAACAAGGACTTAGCGTGTATTCTTGACTGGAGTCGATCTTATGGGTTAACTGTTAATCCGATAAATACCCAAGCTATTATTATTGGTAGTTCAAGACTAATCTCCAAATTAAATAAAACTCAGTTAAACCCTATAACATTTAACGGTGTTCAAATTTCTTATAAGGATGTAGTGAAAAACTTGAGAATCTTGATAGATTCTAATCTTTCTTGGTCTCCTCAAATCAACTCAGTGTCTCGTAAAATGTTTGCAGCTTATGGTTCACTCCGAAGAATGAATTACTTCGTACCCATCTCCACCAAAATTATGCTTGCCCAATCTTTACTGCTCTCCATTCTCAATTATGCTGACATAAGCTATCTAGACATTACCGAAGAGCAACTTAACAAATTTTAGCGACTCCAAAATCTATGTATAAGGTTCATATTTGGACTTCGTAAATATGACCATGTATCAGAATACCGCACTAAGCTCAAGTGGCTTCCAGTCCGTTTTCGTCGGAATACTCATATCCTTTCTGCTCTCTACTGCGTTTCATTTAATATATCATGTCCTCCCTACCTTAAAGAACGTTTCCAATTTCTCAGCTCCTCTCACAAACTTTCCCTTCGATCCTTAGAAAACCTTTCCCTTCTATGTCCCTTGCACTCTTCTACATTTTACAGTAAATCTTTTTCAGTTCTTGGAGTTAAGCTTTGGAATTCCTTACCATCAACTATAAAACGTGCTCAAACAATAGACTCCTTTAGAAACCAAGTTAAAAAACATTATCTTTCCTTCTAAATCATCCCTCCTCCTTTTATCTATTCCTGTCGTTTTATGATCACTAGTCTGTCAAGTAAGTAAATTCCGGCATGTTTATAAAATTTCTTTTATATTTATAGATTACAATATTATTTATAGTGCACTCTACCCGTTACTTAACTTTTCACTTATTTTTATTTCCTATTTAGGTTGTCTGGAAGAAATTGCTGCATAGCAATAAGACCGCCTTTTGTTTTTCTCTTTGTTTTTCTTGTTATGTTGTATTTTTTAGTGTTCAATAAAGGGTATTGTATTGTATTGTATTGTACTTCGCAGCCAAATAAAAAATATGACCTATTAATAAACGACTAGTCTTAATGCACATCATGTTATGTATCAGCTTTTTGCGTTCTGCAATGCGGCTGATAATGCTGAATTTTAAGTGCCATATATTACAAAATGAACAAATGCAGCGATTTGTCTTTAATACCGCAACACTCAATAGCGCTTTTGCATTGTGGCTAGAAATTCTGGCGCAAAGATGGTGGACCTCACTAGTCATTCTGTAATTAGGATAGATATCGTCTACCGTTTTAGTCAACTTATTGTAACGTTATTACAGCTGAACGTCAGTAATCTGCATGCGCAATAAATGGCGCCACGCCGTATCAAAAAACACTTATATTATATTTATATTGTAGCTAAGTATTTTTAATAAGCCTGATACTAAATGTTAGCTGCAACTATGTGTCGGCCACCCCACTAGACCGTCAATCACCACCAGGCGGTCGACTTGTATGGCAACGATGAATGCCTAGGAGAAAATGCCTAGAAGGAAATGTGCATACGTCTCGCTCGCGCTTTCATCTTCCATTCACTAGCGATCGTAGCCTGCACCGTTCATAATAATATCATTTATTTTTAGTTATACGCAAATGCCGTAGGATGAATAGTTTTTATGTATTTGGTTGGATATTCAGAAATTTTGTTTATCGGTTATATTTTACAAATACTTTCGATAATAGCTTATATTCTACTTACACAAAACACTAAATTATTTTCCAGACGATATAAAAGTCACCCAGTATACTTAGACACATAAAAATATAATATTTTACGACAGTGGACAGAAAAGAGTTCCTTCCTGGTGCAATTTCGACAGATGTATTACGTAGTGATTTCGAAAAATTATTAACCGATTACAATTTATGTATCGTGCAATTCTACCTAGGAGCGAAGGTATAATATCGGGCATGGGTCGCGTTCGAGGAATTTTACTATTATATTGTCATATACAACGTATAATGCCTCGTCTTACAAGTCGAACAACAAACGAATGTCCGAAATCGTTCATAATATCGCGATATTCGATGGTGATAACCGCTAATGGTCATTATTATACGCAATTTTTAAATCCAATGTGCATGATAATCCGTTCCTTTCGGACGCCAATAAATTGTGTTAGTTGCTGGGTAAGTTAACAACCAATACGCATTCTGTGTTCGTCGGTATTACTCCTTGTGCTGAAAACTATAAACTTATCTTGAACGCGCTTATGGAGAAGTACGATGATAAGCATATGCTATCATCAACTTTGATTCACTGGCGTTGTTGCATCCCTTTGCGTTTTCATTCGCATCTACCAAGGGGAGGGTTCTGAAGAATTGTTCGGATTAGCTCCAGCCGCCATATTTTACGAACTCACATTGCGTCAAAATTCACGATACAATCCTCACTATCTGGATGCTTGGTGATCCACCACTGTGCGTTTTACTAAGAGTTTTCTTCCCCGTACAATTTCTCTATCAAATCGTTTACCACCGGCAATTTTTCTGGACCAAAACGAGTTAGGGAGCTTCAGGAAAAGAGCTTATTCTTTTCTAAAAAGCCGGCAACGCACCTGAGATTCCCCTGGTGTTGCGGTTGTTCATAGGCGGCTTCCTGCCTAATTACTATGGACGTTCCTGGTAAACTTGTAACGTGACAACGTGGCAACGTGACCTGTGCAACGTGGTAGAGACAATCTGCAGCTATATTATAGTTGTAGTATGAATGGATCGGCTTGACCGGGGTAGGAACACGCTTTCGCGGAATACCGGCCTAAAATAGCAGCCTAATGCTGCTTTGTTTTGTATGATGAATTTTGAGAACCGAAGACTCTTTTTACTTGAAACGAGGCATTCCCAACCAATGGCTAACTCTGGAGCATACGTCTTCAGCACAAAAGGAGGGACGCCATCAGGCCCACTCGACTCGCTGATGTCCAGGGAGAGGAATGATCTGCGCACCGAGCGTTGGATAAACAGCATATCCTGCATGGAGCACTCACACTGCGGGATGGTCGGCGGTGTGTTTCCCCGCCATCAAGAGTCGAGTTGGATGCAAGAAATTTAATTCATAATTAATTTCAGGAATTAGTTGATGAAGAGAAAGCTCAGTAGAGAGGCTTTGTCCTATGTTTCATGGGCCAGTGAGTTGTCCTCTTTTTTCAGAAATGGGAGAGATGGCTGTCAGAAGTTCCCTTGGACAGCCTTGGCGAGAGACCAGAATGCACGTGTTCCCGAAGGAATACGAACTAGGTTCTCGCCAATTCTGCCGTTATACTCTGACTTTGCCTTGACAATGACACTTTGTTTGTCACTCTAATTTCATAAATAAAATCAGTGACTCACCGTCGTCCATTATGTCAGTGTGAGTTGATCTTTGGGTATACATTATACATTTTTTATAGGAGAGGAGGCAAACGAGCATAAGACATTACCGCCGCCCCCGAAATCTGCATAACAAGAAGAATTGCAGATGTGTTGCCGGCCTTTTAAAAAGGAGTAGGCTCTTTTCTTGAGCGTACATTTTGGTAGTAATCGTAACCCAATTCATTAATATAGTGTTTCATTTGTATAATGTATTATTTATTAAAGTGAATTTCATTTCCCTATAAAGAGTTATGATAAAACTAACATTACCACCAGTCTGTCATTATAATGTGTTGCGAACGGTCTCTATAAACTCCAGTAACTGACAAAATGTTTATTTTGAAACCTTTGAAACCCATATTTCTCATTGAAAATTTACTTTTCATATTTAGAAACATATCTTTTACGGACAAAATATATTTGAAATATTTAATATATTTTTTATTGTTTTTAGAAACGTCAGTATGCTTTTCAAATATTATAGTTTGTGGATATTTTCATTCTATACTGCAATTCAACAATGTCTTAGATCTTTATATAAGTTTCGCAAATTCATTGTTTTTTATACTGACGGCTTGTTATCATACAAAGTCATTTACAAAATTAGTATCCATCATATCGGCCAACATTCCTATTTATCAAAAGGATGACCTGTTTCTTACAACATTTGAAAAGAAAAGTAGATTAATGGTTGTAATTTTACTAATGTACATTTCTTTAAAAATATTTTTTCAAATATACGATTCAAGATATAGCGATCTTTTTAATAATGGTATCAGCAATTTTTTGTTGCATATATTTCAAGTTAATGCGTTAATGTGTAATATTCGCTACTTTTATGAATATTTCGTATTTTACTCAATATTACATGTATTATCTGATCAGCTAAAATGCATAATTCAACTTGTGGTTGAAGAGACTAATACCTTGGACGAAAGTTTTGAAGAAGTAGAGGACGGAGAGTTACGGATTTTGACATACAAGGAACAAATAAAGAAGATACAACAGTGGTCTTTTGTTTATACACACCTTGCCAAGGCAACAAAACTTTTCAATGTTATTTTTGGATTACAGGTAAGATACGATGTTTCTTTCACTTACTCAAGGAATATTAAGAACATGAACTTGCCATGTCTCAACGCAGATACATGGTCGATGAGCAAACATAGAGCCGCTTCGTTAAGCATATCAGTGGATCCCGGTGTAGGGAACCCAAGGCCCTAGAACACAACATATACATAATAAAGCTCTAGCTAGAATATCCAGAATCCGTGCAATACGAACGTTCTAATTATTTGTAATTTGAAGGCACAGCGTAGTCGAAGCACGAAGAACAACCTATCATAGACCTAGCTTTAAAATTGTTTAACTACAATTTAAACTTAACTAAATATTAAAGCCCTCTCAACGTCCCTCAATTGCGTGCTATATCACTGTCACAACTAATCCCAAAACTACTACATTGAAAAGACTCATATAATTGATAGAATTGATCTCCGCAAAGTTATGCCTAACCGCAAAGGTATGTAATCTTAATTAAATATTTCAGATTACGGTGATGTTGGTATCAGCGATTGCATACATCAGCACATTTTTGTATACATTTATATTTATAAGTGTCAATGTAAGTACGTCGTTTGTAAATATTTCAGTTTTTTGTTGACAGTTAAGCTTGATATCATTTTCACATCCCTAGAGTAGAATCTAAAGTAGCAAAATATTAGACAAAACACTGATAGTAAGTTTTCAGTTGTGTTATGAGCGTCCCTGTTTTTCCAGGCACTACCTTCCTACCTTATGAACTATTATAAACAATTTAACATTTCCGTCGACATAAATAAGCCGAAATATAAATCTGTTGGATTTTCACCTTTTTTAGAAATTGATATATAATTCACAGACGAGTTCCTCGTTCATTCATAAATAACTATATACTTGCGATTGTTAAAAATATTTAGAAACCATATTATGCTTAAAGCCCAGTCTTAAAAAGAGGTCTTTAAAATCAGAGACGGCATTTGTTTATCAAAGATACGCGATGCTATTTGATCTGTATTTCACCTCTAAACGACGTCATAAAAATGACTTAATATTTTTAAAAATTATTTTAAAACAATCTTTTTTACCCAATCAACCAGCAAAAATTAAAATTATTGTATTCTTTCTCTATATACTTTCAGGTACATAAAAACAAATCATGGGTGTTGTTTAAAATTTGCATTAAACTTATATTAAACCAAGCTGGTATATTGCTTTTGTCAAAAGCGGCACAAAAAATGCAGAATAATGTAGATATGTTAAAACGCTGCCTGGCAACACTGCTTACTTACTCACTTCACGGTATGTTTCTCCCTTAAATAATAATTAGGTTTAATGCCATTTTCCTAGTCTACTAAGGTAAGTACTTTTATACAACAACAAATAGACTACTTAAAAGTTTAACTTACTTACAGACCTGAATTTTGGTACTCATGTTACTTAGGATGAGTAGAGATCCATTATGAATTGCTTCAGCTTATACCGACTCCCAAAGAAAACTTTGGAGTGTTTTAAATAAAAAATAATCTCTTTTTTGAACTATCACTTTACAGAACTGAATTTCAGTCTCTTATTTTGTTGGGAACACTAGGCTAGAAGTTGTTTACAAGTATGTTTACCTGGGACAAATAATCCGACTAGGTAAAGTCAAACTCGAACGCGAGGTCAATCGACGAATACAACTCGGCTGGGCAGCATTCATGAGACTACGACACATCTACTCGTCACGTATACCTCAAAACTTGAAAACAAATTTGTTGTAGTACTGACGTCCCTTTACGTACACACGCACTAAAAATTAGTTTCCTGCAAATTATATTCCAAGTAGTGGAAAGGGTACAGGGGTGTCAGTAATTAATAAATCAAAATTTTAAGCTACGATTTCTATGGACTTGGCATTTTGCTGCTTCTTATTATTATCGTTATGGCCGATCCAATATCAACTGCTGAATACAGGCATTCCTCATTGATTGCCTCATAAGGGAAAATGTGTAATAGCTGGAGCGACGCGTGGCAGCTATGGTAGTCTCAGTTTTAAAATTTTACTTGTTATTAGGAAGATGCTGTAGCTGCCAGAAAAATCTCATTTATTGGATGGATGCCAACATAACTATCACTATTATGTAAGAAGTATAATACTCAAACTGTAGCTGACGGATAGTAGTGTCAAAGTAGTGAGGGGCCTGACACTACGAGTGTTAATCTACCTGCTAAACGTGACGATTAAGAATAACTATTGCAATTGGGGCCTATGTTTAGTTATGGTCTTCAACGGACATACTTCTAACGAATAAGATGAAATAATAAAGATCTAGCGTAGTGTGATTATATTTTTCCTACTCTAAATTAAGTTACAGCTTATAACCGTCCCTCCACTGGGCACAGAACTCTTCTTATTTTTTAGAGAAGTATGGAAATGGTCCTGTGCGTCGCTCTAATGCGTGTTGGCGTACTTAATATGTCTTAGACATTTATATTTGTCGCGATGTTTTACTTCACCGCTGTGCACGTGGTAAATATTAATTTGTATAAGCCGTGATAGCATTAGGACTAAGCGCTCGCCCACGTATCTACGCGAGTGATTCTGGTTCATCCCACGCTTAATATATAAAAATAAAAAAACTTTAATTTTCAGATATTGAAATGTATAGAGCTACAAAAGACCTGCTTCGATTTGTTTCAAAACGTCCATTACAGATCCGGGCATTTGGATCTATTGTAGTCGACATGAGCTTACCCCCAACATGCGTCATGCTATTTACGTCTTACACAATTATTGCATTACAGTTTAACAATGTATTGTAACAGCATTATATTTTGTTTACTCGTAGTAAATTATAATTTTTCTCTTTGCGTGAACCAAATAACATTTCAATTTATTTTCCTGATCATCCTAATTATAAATACATTAATTTCAATCCTTTAATTTGCATCATGGACTGATGAAATGATGTAATGAATGTTTATGAAAATTATAATTTTAATTTCAAAGCAAAAAATGCTTAATTAATTTAAATAATTAACAACTTTTTGGGGCGCCACAAATACACTATGGATTCATTATGATTTTGTTTGGAATCTGTTGTTACGTTTGTGTGTGTCTGCCTATAATTATTTTTTTAATAGAATAAGGGTGACAAACGAGTTCACAGTCCATCAGATGTTGTGGCTCATAGAAATCTACATTTATCCCCGATTAAGAATCAAAATTCAGATGCGTTGTCACCTCGTGGGACTATGATTGCATACCACGTTTCCAGTAAGAAGGGTATCTATTATTCTTCACAAACATATGAAATATATCAGCATTAAGGTGCTATTTTACGCTGTTATATTTGCGAGAACGTGATCCTGCCCTGGTTGAGCCGACCCATTTGTGCTACAACCATAATTTAGCTACGCTACCGTCTACTAGGGATCTTAATATTAAATTATGTGAGCTTGTTCCAAGTAGATCAGACCAATATTTTTTAATTAAAAACTGAATGTAGTACGTATTGAATTAAACAAGACATCAAAACATCAAACACCTTAGATTCTCTGTTACCGTGGTGTAGTAAAGTACTAATGCACCCGAAACTTCGGGAAATAAAAAAGTTATTAAAAAAATGTATCCAACCATACATTATTGTAATAGCTACTTTATAAATTAGCAGTCATGTATTAGAACGTCCATGTAGTTTTTGGTATCACTAAGCTATAAGTTGTTGACGAGTATGTTTGCCTTGGTCTGAATTGACCTACTGGCAGTGTTTGGAAGATTACGACAGTTATTCTCTGCACATTTAACTAAAAGACTTAATAACAAGAGTACAAAATCAGTGCGTGTTGCCAGTGATAACATGAGGATCTGAGACGTAAGATCATCGAGCCGTGGACTACACTCGTAGTTACTCTACGCTCTACGTACTACTACTACGTAGTTACTCTATTGAAATAGAGATGAGGATATCCGTATAAGAACGGGGGTAACAGATATACCAATGGATAAGTAAGCTGTAGTGGGAGTGTGCCGGCCATATAATAACTCGAAGCACTGATAGTCGATGGGCAGGAAAGGTTCTCGAATGGCAGCCTAATACCGGGGAAATGAAGTTTAAAACGCCACGCTACATAAAGTTAAACCTGGTAAGAGATGTGGAAAGTCGATGGATGCACGAGACTCAGTACCGTGGTTTGTGGCATTCTTTGAGGGAGGCCTATGTTCAGCAATGGACTTCAGAAAGGTTTAATGATGATGATGATGATGATAATAAAGTAGTTATATTCAGTTTCAATACTTTAGGAGTAACCTCGTCTCACAAATAGTACAAGTAATCTCTGACAAACACTTGCAAGTCATTATCTCTGAAGATCGATTGTGTTAGCGTTATTTCCAAGAGACGAAGATTTTAAGTGAGATTGAGAGATTCTGCATTTATTCCGATATACAACATGTAGCATAAACCCAGTGATTCTCTTCATTATTAGAATAAGAATTTAAACGTATAGAAATTTTCAGAGAACTCAAGCATTACAATGTTTAATCAGTTTTAAATAAATTTTAATTTGCTAATTATATGAGTTTCATTACCTCTTCATTAGTAATAAATAAATTATAAAACCTCATACAATTTGCAAGTAAAATTTTAAGTAAACTATTATTTTCAAAATTAAAATTAATTAAATTAAATTTTTAATGGTCGAGTTTTCTTAAAAAACTTATTTTTATATGTTTGAATACGATTCTGATAACTCACTTCCCGTTAAGTAACCACATATAACGTTATTGTGTATAGGCCTATTCCGGTAATATCCACCTTTCTGTTATAAGTCAGCTTGATCGAGATCAAAATGGCTGCTAATTTTTGCTCTGAAATATAGAAGCCATATATCGTAAGCCGGAATAACAGACAGTTGGCAGACAGACTATTTGGCAACTAGACCTCGCGTACGTAGCCCGTACAACCGATACGGGTTACCATACCTTCTCGTTATTAGAGTGATTCCAGAGATCTCCATTCCTTCTTTATATCATAAAACACCTTGCACGTCACTTCGCGGCCTTAGATATAGGCTAAAGGGCTACCTCTGTGACCACCGTCCAAGCCAAAGAAATATAATGGAGGCCAAGAAATGATCTCCACCGGCGCCGAGTTCAGCCGAGATTAGTTCAGCAACCGCTCTCTTCCTCTCCCTATTAGCAGCCGTCTTCGGCGATATTACTTGCTTTCGGATGGCAGTTCCCCGCTGCAGCTACAGTAGCTACACGCGTATATTAGCTTATTCTACGTTGCTCTGCAGAGGTACTTCCTGAAGCACCCATGGTCCGGCAGCATTTAATATTTTATACACCTACTTCATATTTTTATCCCTGCATCACCCATAGATTAACTGGTACAGAATTGACATGTTGTATGAAGTTTAATAAATAAATACCGACAGCCCACGTCCTTCAAGAAGTTTTTCTTAATAAGATCTGTTTTAATCGGTATTCAATCGGGTGGGTTTGAGAGAATAATTATGAATACATACATCTATTCTTACTTCATAAACTTCGCTTAGTGGTAAAAGCCGACCGATCAATCAATCATATTTTCAGACAGGGAAAGGTGTGTTTCTCATACCAGCCTTGGTTCGATAATATTATGTGAGAGATTGGTTCTCATCGGCCCGTAAAATGTCATAGTTATACATGTACCTTTCCCGTTACGGGAAGCATTTATTACCTCAACAGGCAGGCGTATTGACAATTGCTGTATGAGACGTCAGGCATTTATCAAGCTGCCTTGTATTTTACAACTGGCGTCAAGGAGAAGGGCATAACGTTATATATCCCTCTGAATTTTTTCTATTATCGCGTCATGCACCAGCCACGACACATAGTTGCCCGATGGACTCGTCGCCACAACAAGGCATTTGATAGATTATCTACTATATGAAAAAAAAATCATCTGAAACATGCTAACGTGGTCTCTCCTTTTTTATCTAGGACTCCAGCTGGGTTTTGCTAAAAATTCAAACCTATTTCTGTCGCCAATCAGCAGAGAACACCCACTATTATTTCCCAATTGGAAAGGCAGGAACACATTGACAAATCTATAAAGAACTTCAATATAGCTATATCAACTTATATATGCTTTGTCAACTCATCTGCAACATTTTCTATATGAAATTATTATTCTTCAGCAGCAGTCACTTAACATCGTGTGGATTGTTAAGTTGTCCGTCATACTAATTTCATAAATGGAATCAGCGACGCACTGTCGTCCGCCACATCAGTGTATGTTTACCTTTGGGTATACATTATTCATAATGATACGGTTTGGTAGCAATGGTAACACAATTCATTAATATAATGTTTCATTAATGTAACGTATTATTTATTAAAGTGAATTTCGTGTCGCAATAAACAGTTATAATTAAACTAACATTTTACAGCACCATCAGACGACCAGACGGCTGGCGGACCTTCACCCCTTTGTTGTCGATATTCCACGCATTAGAACCAAATGGTTTGCTTCGGCATTTTTAATGCGTACAGCAAAGTAGTGGAATAATTTGCTGGCGTCTATCTTTCCGTCCGAATACAATCAGTGCGTTTTCAAAGCAAGAATGAATAGGCTTTTGTTACGCTAAGACAGTGCGATTTACCACTTACCACCAGGTGGGATTGTGGTCAAGCACTGGGTTATAATTAGTAATAAAAAAAACCTTAGTGGCGGTGTAGGAATATCTACTAACCCGTGTCGTTTTTTGGATGACGTAAAACGTGACAGAGAGAAACTAAAACAGGAGTTGGGCAGCAGTTTGTTCCTAATAACAACTCAAATTCATAAAAAATGCAGTAGCCAAACCGCTTACCAAGCGTGACAACTATTTCACTATACAAATATAATCCCCAGTTATCCCAAATGAGGCAATCTATAGAGGAAGATTATGTTCAGTAGTGAACTATTATAGGCAGTAATGGATGGATGGAAGAAATAAGTGTTAACAAAAAAGGATTCTAATGTAAATCATGACGCCAAAATAAATAGCGAAACCTGTATTGCAATTATTTTAGCTTCAGGCTTGTTGTTATTATAAGCGAAGGTCGTTCAAAACATGAAAGCGAGTTACGGAAGCAGAATTGAAAAATATTTTCACAAAAATTCAGGCGAGTTTGCCGCGCACATATCTTTTAATCTCTTAATTTCAAGAACGAAATGAATGAGCTTTATCCAAATTTCGAACGAAAACAGAAAGTTACATGCATTTATTTAACGTTAGTACTAAATGTAATATAATTAATAGAACCAACAACTCATGTGAAACAAAGATTCTCAAGTAGAAACCTCGTACCGGTAAGCGAACGTAGCGCGGTCACGCACTACACACAGTTTTGTAGCATTCCTTTTAGGTTTCCTATGTTCATCTGTGAACTCGTGAAAGGCTATAATAATGATGATGAAATCTATTAATATGCATTATAATAACAATCAACTTAAAAATAAGTTTCGGAATAGGAGATTTAATTGCTAATATTGCAAGGCTAATAAAGCATGCGGTTTAAGTCGTTTATTAAGGCGTACAACTGCTTTTACACCAAAACTAACTTCATGAAGTAAGAAAAGTTGTACATGTATAATAACCCCCTCCTCGAAACCTAGTGAAAGAGACCTTAGTAAGACAACACTTAATTGATTATAAAAAAAAAACACTCGTAGTGTGTGAAAAGCACTGCTGAAAATACGGCGATCTCAAAACCATTACCGAACACAACTTCTTGCCTATATTATACAAAAACTAATTATTGAATTACCACTTAAAACACATTTAAAAAT